TAATTGCTTTTTTTAGTTAGATTTAAAAGAAAGTGGGAGACAGGGACAGGCATGAGTCATTCCTCGTGCTTCCACTCCCTCTTGAGCTTGTGTCTCAGGATTCCTGTGGTCTTTTCTTAACCTACATGTGCCTCTTAATATCCTGGGACATCCCTTCCAGTCCCTTTGCAAGCTCTGTTGCTCTGGAATGGACAGTGGAGCATGAGTTCCTGAGGAAAAACAATAGTTTTCCAGCACTTGTTTGTCACTGCAACCTAAGAGACAACCTCTGAGGAAGAGCACAGATTTGGATGTGGTTCCTACCTCCATCTGCATTTCTCCAGGTGGGCCAGGTTCTGGCACCTGCCTGTCTACTGCAGATTAATTCTGTCTGTCCCAGAGGAAGGTGAGCATCTGCTAGTTTGAATCCCAAAAAGGGACAGCTCAGCTGTTGCAGAAGAAGGCACGATGCATATCAGTAAAGACCTCACAGAAAGTTAAAATAAAATAAAATATATATAAATTCCTACATTGGTTTGAAGCATCACACTTGTAAAATTGTGGTAACTCCCCTTAGGACAGTAGCTGTTTTCTGCAGTGTTTGGCAGCTTCAGTTGCAGGTAGTAAATTAGAAGTCAAGAATGCAAAATTCAAACACTTTGTAACCTTATTGCTGTTATTGAGAAATGTTGAGGTTTCAATAACATCATGTGGAAAGTGGTGTTTCAAATTAGAAAGGAAAGACTCTCTCAGGAAATCTTACTGGGTTGACCTGATGCTGTGCTGAGCGCTTGTTCAAACCTGTGGCAATCCATGCATGTAACCAATAAAAGTCTGAAGGGAGAGTTTTTGGTGTCTCAGTGAGGTCCTAAGATTGGAACATCACACAACTGGAAGTTTGCCATGATTTAGACAGAACTGAAGGAGAGATAGGCTTGGGAGGCTTTTAATCTTTTTCAAGTATTTGAGTCATCCTCACAATTGTCATTAGGAGTCTGAAGCCTTTGTAGCTCTGCTACCTGGAGCTTATGGTAAGCTTACTTTTACCATGTAAAAACAAGGTACAGCATCAAATACAGGCTGCTGTATTTTTCTTCCTGAAAATTCAGGTAAGGGTCTAGAAATGGTTCTTCAGAGCAGACCTTGGTGCAGACCTGCAGGAACATTCAACAAGAGAGATGGAGGTAAAGGGAAGAGGTCCTTCCCAGCAAGGTGTCTTTCTATTTTAGGAGGATTTGGAGAGAGAAGCTCACTGTGTTGTGACAGGCATGCTCAGTCGCCTCGAAATTCTACTAGAGTTTCACCTCAGCCATTGGGAAACAGCATTGTATGCTAAATATTTTGGGCTGCAGTTGCACAAATAAAATCAGATACCATGATTTGCTTCATAAATATCTATCCTAGTCTTCCCAAGTTAGTTTTGAGAATGTGATCATCTCTCTTCAGCTTGCAGAGGGACAATTTCTGCATCACTAAAGCAGGAGCTATTAGAAATGGGAATGTTTGGCATTCTCAGGCTGTGGGCAAGAGGGAGAAAGTGTGAACTAGCCCACGAGGTTGGGAAAGAGCAAAACTCATTCCTCAAACCTGCATCTCTTGTCTCCAGAGCTTCCCCGTGGCATGCATTTCATGAATTTTAATTTGAATGTCATTATTTTGATTGAATGCAAACCAGAGCTGACTGAGGACAGGTCTGAAGAGCCACCTCAGCAGGAGTTTTAGGGCACTTGCAGATTTTCCTTATGGGCTCCCTTTCACTGTGTATTATCAAGCCTCAGAGAACCTGCAGTTTGGCAGGAGGAGAATACAGGGCCATTTCGGAGCAATGAGGAAGGAAACTGTGGTGTCTCCAGTATCAGAGTGACACCCATGCTTTTCCCAAATCATCCAACATGGTAGGAGCAGCCTTCTGCAGAAACAGAAGAGGAAATTGCATCCACGGCTGAGTTACAAGAGAGGTGTCCATGGAAGGTTAGCTTGCATCCTTGTCCCACAGAAACATCTGTAGCTAGTTCTGCAGTTCCTGATCCTTCTGCACCTTTGCCGAAAGGAATCTGAAACCTGGAAGGCTGAGCAAGGACTCATATGGGTCAGGAAGTACATGAGACTAAAGCACAGAGAGGAACAGATGTCTTCTGAATGTTCTTCCATCTCAGCCCTCCCTTCTCTCCTCACCATCTCTTCTGGTCACCTTCCCTGTGATGGGCCATGTCAGCAACCAGACCAAACTGCTTCCCAGGGACACAGGAAGGTTTAGGGGTGGGGAGCATGCATGTGTGGCAACAGAGCAACTTCTGCTCAGCCTCCCCGAGCTCTCTTCAGGCTGCTCCCCGAGCTCTCTTCAGGCTGCTCCCCGAGCTCTCTTCAGGCTGCTCCCCGAGCTCTCTTTAAGCTCTCCTCAAGGAGGTTCCTGTGGAGGACAGATTCATTCCCCAAATGAATTAATTCCTCTGTTTTGCAAGACAGGCCTGACGTGGTCACTGTAGAGGATATTTAACTTTTTGGCATGGAATCAGAACCAGGAGGCAGCCAAGAGGTAAAGATTTGCTGTATGAGTGAAATATTTCCTTTGTTGAGGAAAAGACTTGCATGTGGTTTGTGGTGGGCATTTATTCAAGGTGGCTGTGCCAAGGAGACCTTTGATGTCCTTACTCTTATTTTGAAGCGTATGTACACACTCAGGAATGCATTCAGAGCAGCTCTGGGCAGTAATCTGGTTTGTTGAGATTTTAATTTAACAGGTTTTAATTTAACAAATTTTAATTTAACAAATTAAAAAACTCTAATTTAACAAATTGAAAATCTCCTCCTCTCAGTAATCCAGAACACGGGTATTCTAATGATGAGAGGGCTTCTCAAATCACAGCAATTTCACTTCAGAGTGATGAAAAGTTGGAGGTTTAATTCCTTAACACTCAGTTTCATGTGATCCTAAAACATCCAGGTGAAGAGTTGCTGAACTGAAGTTTTCCCTAGAGTCAGGCAGGGGTCTCTGACTGTCAGCCTGCGTTGGATTCAAGCTTAGGGATATTCCCGGTGTTGGTGGAGGATTGCCAGAATTTGTGAATATTTTGCATTTAGAAAAAAAAAAAAAACTTGAACCAAATGTAAATTTGTAAATTTCCAGTGCTTGGGAGTTGAGTGCAAATGTTTGGAGGTGGTGATTTGTTTGGTTTTTCTGATTCTTGGATGACTGAAATGACTCAGACTACATCTGGGTTGATGTTGGAGTCAGCGTAACTGAGGATTGAGGCTTAGGTCTCTGTTCTGCAGTCCCTACAGAGCTTGGCACACCAGTCTCAGTGCCTTAACTGGGGCTTCTGACAGCTGCTGCTGTAGATGCTGAAACTCCTGACCAACCTCCAACTCACTGCTTAAAAGCACAGTGAAGCTCTGGGCTCTAATTTGACATATTCCTCACTGGCTCAGCAGAGGAGAAAGAAGCAGCAGTCAAGAAGGCACAGTGTTTGGTTTGGTTTTAGCTCAGATGTTGGTTATATTCAGATGTTCATCTCTGCTTCTTCTGATTTGGAAATTTTCAAAGAGCTTCCTTCCCAAAACCTCAGGAGAATAATCAACTCCGCTTTAGCGTTTACAGTCCCTGGTTCAACGCCTGTGTGTGTGCTCTTGAGCACAGCATAGAGCAGTCGTGTCAGAAGGCAGCCGCTGAAAATAAAAAGGAATTAATAACAGATGAACAAACAACTGCTTGCTCTATCTTTTCCTGATATTTTGCATGCCATTTAGCTTGTGATGAAAGCAGCAATAATTTGCATCTCTAAGTTTGCTTATTGCTTCCAAACAAGTAGCCTTTTATTGATTTCTTTATTTGTTTATTGATTTCTTTATTGTGTAGTGATGAAGCTTTTAATGTGCTAAATAAAGCAACAGGGAAGCTTAGAGCTAGGCATGGAAAGATTTCCATAGATAGGCCATTTGCCTTCAAAGTCAAATCTACTTTAAACTATTGCTCAATATGAAATTAAAAGAGTAAATTTAACCAAGCAGCATGATGCTTTCATTATTTTATTTTTTTTTTTTTCCCCCCACAGTTTCTGGCCCTGAGAGACCAGTCTGTCCCTTTTCTTGCTTCCATGCCCTATGAATTACCATAGAGCAAGGACAGCAGAGGTAATGTGGTTTCATGGTATCGGTACGGGGGAAAAACGCCACCTTAATCCTGCACTGGATATAAGGAGCCTGATTTTCATCTGGTGTACATTGTGGTTGGCTTTGTTTGACCCAGCTGAACTGCTCTTCTCTGTCCGGGGTAAATAGTCCCCCTGGTTTGCTCTGAACTTCAATGCAGAAGGTACAGCTTTGTGCTTCTGTGTCTCAACTGTCCTATTTAGAAATCACCATTTCCTATCGTGGCAAATTGAAATCTTCTGAGAATCCCAAGACTTCTGGCTTCACTGAGATTGAATGTGAGTGAGCTACCAGGCTCTAAAGCAAGTGTTATTGGAGTCAAATGATCTCAACAAATTCCATTCAGACCCCTGAATACGAGGTGGATATGTCTTCACAAGGACCCAAGTTCCTTTTGTGGCAGTTCAGCTTGTGAAAATATGCATGGATCTCTGGTAATTGAAGGAGAAGCAATTTGCATATCCTCATTGAATACAGAGACCGGCTTTCATTTACAATACAAAGCAGGGAATGAATGCCAATGAAAACTTAAAAAGGACAAAATTAATCAGTAAATTTTAATTACAAAGTTGCATTACGACACAGTAGCCAGCCATGGGTCTCACTTGGTTTTCTGTATTTAATAGTATTGTCTTTCATCCACACATCTTGGGGTAAAGAAAACTGTTGGAATTGGTTTTTCTCAGACCTGCTCTGTTGTCCCCAAACCGGTACGCTCGAGCAGAGCAGCACCTGCGGCGAGCGAAGGGCAGGTCCGTGTCTGCGCTGCGGGCTGCAGGCTCCGTGCTGTGGCATGACGGGCAAAGTCTTCTCGTTTATTTGTTGTTCTGTTCCTGTTTTCTTGTTTACCTTCATTTCATTTTTGTTTTCAGTTGACATGTGGTCAGTAGGGTGCATCATGGGAGAAATGATTAAAGGTGCTGTGTTGTTTCCTGGCTCTGATCGTATCCTTCCTAGCAGCTGTTCTGGCCTCAGGAGGTACCTCCCATCCTTTCCCCTCCAGCCCCTTTCCCACCAGACTAGAGCTGACATAGGTTTGTACTGGATCTAAAGAGCTGGCTTAAGTCCCACTGCAAAATCCCTGCATGCCAAAATGTCACTGAATTATTACTGCCTCTCAGTAAAAGTCTTGGGTGGAAACCACAGTGAGTGTAGTCAGGAGATGGAAAATAGTGTCCTATGTGGTTGATCAGAATCACTTTCTGCAGGCGAGAAACACTTGTTTTTAGTTTTGTTATAAATGTCTCTACTAATTGGTGGTGGTGGGGTGTTTCATAAGTGACAGGGGGTTTAAGTTCAGGTAGTAGCATGGTAGGCACAAGTCACTGTTTACCTCGGGATGGTGTGTGAGAGGTTCTGCACCTCAGGAAGAAGGTATGATTCACTCAGACACGACTTCTAGAAATGCTCATTTCTTGGCTTGTTTGCTCTGCAAGTGGTATTGAAGTAGGAGAGTAGGGAATGGTTTCAGTTTGGGGATGACTTCTGCTTCCCCAGCCTAAAATTACCACTTCAATTTGTAGCAATTTGATGACTCAAAAGACTGGGAATTTCCTTGGAAACTGTTGCAGTGGACTTCAGCCCACCCTTGATTTTGGTACGTGTAGCTGTTATGTGAAAGCAGAATGTATTTTTGCCATCAACAAGAAGTGATTTATAGATAAATACATTAAATCAGGTCCAAGCCGACTGGGTGGATGGAGGTTTTCTTTAGAGACCATTTTGCATTCAGGACTGAGGCAGACATAATTCTTACTTTATTTTGTGCTCTATGAAACCTTTGATATACACTCTATCATTTATCAGATTGTGAAAGTGGTTTCTTCTTGTGCACGACAGCAACTGAGCTTGGTGCACACTTGGTCTAACTCCAGTGATTCCTAGTCAGTAGGATTACACAAATGCAAAATGGAGATGACCTGTGTACAAGTTTTCCTTCTCATTTAAACCACCCTGTACTTCGATAGGTGACAGAGGAGTTTCCAGATATTACTCATTTTTATGTAACTTTCTATGAACATGTGTGTGTGTTTACATATATATCAATCCATATTTACTAATTCAGTTTAGCACTTCACTTTTGGCCTCATTCACACTTCAAAGGGTTTAATATTTAGATTAAAATGTGGAAAAAGTAATATCTGAAGAGCATTAAAGAAATTAAAGAAGGCAACGATATTGTTAATATTTTCACAGCTTTGTCTAGTAAAGATTCTGATTTGTGTTTTGCCCAAACTGTTGGATGATGGTACCCATACCAAAATGATTGCTAAAATTCCCATGAGTTTTCATATGATCATGGAATCACAGAATGGTTTGGGTTGGAAGGGACCTTAAAGATCATCCAGTTCCAACCCCCCTGCCATCAGCAGGGACACCTTCCACTAGACCAGGTTGCTCAAAGCCTCATCCAATCTGGCTTTGAAACCTTCCAGGGAGGAGCAGCCACAGCTTCTCTGGGCAACCTGTTCCAGTGTCTCACCACCCTCACAGTGAAGAACTTCTTCCTAATGTCTAAACTAAACCTCCCCTCTTTCAGTTTAAACCCATTTCCCCTTGTTTTGTAATTAACTGCCCTCTGGAGCACATCTCATCTGCATATGTGAAAGCAAACTTTTCCCTTCTCCTTAGAACCTATTTGTGCTCCATCAAGATTTGGCCCAGGCTGTGTTTAGTGTTTTCTGTGGACGTGGAGTGAGAAATTAAAGTGTGGGGATTAGCGGAGTTTAGTCTTGTAGTCAGAACTGGTTTTGTGTTATCAGACTTAAGTTTTGTAAGATATCATTGAAAGAAATCCCCAAGTGAGTACAAAAAGAACTGAACACATCCCACATAAAGCTTCAAAAACTGGTTTCTTTGCCACAGCTGCGTACTTGTTAAAAAGAAATCATGCAAAGCCTCTGTAATTAAACCATTATGTGCTGTTTATTACAGCAGTAACCCCGCAGAAATTGGCATTACCAGCTGCTGATTTCTCTGGGATTGTTCTGTAATTGAGTTCACGTTCTTCATTTGTATTTATCATATGCTCCTAAATTTGCTCTGTTTTATGTACCACTCTGCATTTTTCTTCTGCTTTTTCCATGAGTGTTTATTCTGTGAACAGAGAACGATGCTGTTCTCTTTCAGGGTGCTGAGCACCCCTCCTCAAAGCCACCTCTTCTCCAAATCCATTCTGCCCCCCTGCTCAGCAGCTGCTGGCACTTCTTCTTCCTGTGCCCGTCTGTGTAGTGAAAACCAGTCAGAAAAGTGCAAGGGCAGACCCAGCCTGCTGAGACTGATGACCTTGTGGCATCTTCTTCCTTAAATGTGCATGCAAAATGTGTGGTGTTTCTCTAAAAAAGGTTATTTCTTCAGATGTGTGATGGAGTTGGGCAGCTGTATGATTCCATCAGCAGGCACCATGAGCTCCAAGAGCTTAGGGGTAACATACTCAAGGATGTGTTTAAGTGTAGAAGGAGCAAGAGTCATTAGAAATCTGTTTCTTTAAAAAAATAAAGCTTCTGCTTCAACATAAGATTGATGTAAAAGGGGTTAAGACTGGCAGTGTACCAGAAATTGTTATCAGCAATTTTTTCTTCACAGGCAGTGCTTCATTTTGCAACCACCCTGTGATTTGAAGACTATTTAATACTAATTTGTGTCCATTTTTATGAATAAATAACTGTGAAAAGCAGTTTTGAAACGGAAAGATTGAATATTCATGAGAAATGTACTGTCAGTCATATATTTGACTGCAAAATTTACAATTTGCTATTTTCCAGCAGTTCAGGAGTACAAGTAGTTTGATATTGTTGCTGTTTACAGAACTAAGTGGTCTAAGTGTTTCAGCCAACTGAAACAACTTCTGTGGCAAAATAGAGCAGTCTTACCTGGCTGTGGAAAAGTCACCAGCAGAAAAATAGGAAATGCCTTTCCCTTGGTGAGGAGTGGAGTGCTCAGCCAGGCTGCAGCTCTGTTTTACTCCTGTAATCCAGGTAATTCACTGAAATCACTTCGCTGGAGCTGAGAACAGCATCCACCTCTATTCTTTTTTTTTAAACTCCAGTTGTAAGTGCTTTGCAGTGTCCCAAATCCCCTGGGTCTTCACTGATCCTTGAAATTTTACTGTTTCTCTACCGTTTTTGGTGTATGCATGTGATGCAGTTAATTATGAGCTAAAGCTTTTTTTTTAAAAAGTTATATGAACCTTCTTTTCAAGGATGACAGCAGTAGTTCTGCTTACAGAGAAACTAGTATCATGAAGCTTGGATATACCTGTGCCTCGAGGAAGGAGAAAAGAGCAATGTGGTTTGTTGTGTTGCCTCAGGAGCAATTTGGAAAGCAGACTGCACCTGTGAGTTGACTCTTGTTCCATGTGTTGTTCTGAAAATTTTATGAGGAAGACTTATTTCTCACCACTGCATAAATGATCTGAAGGAGTTCAGAAGGTGCCTTAGTCCTCTGGTGAGCTGTGAAAGTGGTAGTTATACCTGGATTTTAAATCTATCTTTTTAAACTGCTGAATGCATTTTGGGCAGATGATGAAGAATGAGCATTTAAATTCTGTATTTGGGAATGCCTCCAGGGAGACATGTGTTCAGTAGAGAGATGTAAGGTCAGCGTGATGTCAGCTTCTTGTAGTATAAATCTTAGATGGCCACACCAGCTGTCACTTACAGAGCTGCCTTCTACTGGTGCAATCGTGTTCCCCACGGCACAGAGATGGGGGTACGGCTTTACAGCTCATTTAGAAGGTATTACTAATACCTTCTACTAAATACTAAATAGTGCTGATGTTCATCAGCTGCCTTCTAGGCTGGGTACCTGATCCTCGTGCATGCAGCTGTGCACTTAGGAAGCCAGAAATGTACCACAAGTGAAGGTTCTAGAAGCATAGAAACAGCCTGGAGTAGGTACTGCAGTGGTGAGGAGGCATCCACAGGGAAATGGAAACGCTTATCCGAGAGCAACACTGCAGCCTGTGCTGCAGTTTCTGGACTAGCCCCTGAGCACTGATTTGCTTGCTGCTGTGTAAGCAGAGACACTCAGCAACCAAGTGAAGTACCAACTAAAAAAGAGCAGTTGAAAATTTTAGTGCAGGTGTTATCATAGATAAGCACCCAAAGGTTTAATGACAGCTACGCAACCAACACTGCTATCTGCTAACTTCCTAATGATCAGTGGTCATCTTGGAAGTCATTTTATTTATCATAGAATGGTATAGGTTGAAAGGGGCTTTAAAAACCATCCAGTTCCAACCCCCCTGCCATCAGCAGGGACACCTTCCACTAGACCAGGTTGCTCAAAGCCTCATCCAACCTGGCCTTGAACACTTCCAGGGAGGAGCAGCCACAGCTTCTCTGGCCAACCTGGGCCAGTGTCTCACCACCCTTATGTGCTGCATGTTCTTCTTATTATCACCAGCTGTTCTGTCACAGCGTGTAAATAGTAACTATTGTTCTTCAAGGTGCAAAATGTTTCTGGTACAGTCTCATTTGTACAAATGCCACATTCTTCTCAAAGCATTCACCTTGGCACAGAAAATGCTTTACGCTTCCTGTCTTGTTAGATGCTACTGTTTGCAATTTATTGTGTGGTTTTATGTAAACTGTGTTGACATCACTATGTAAATTATGGGACTGTGGAAAAAAGGTATCTGACACTGTCTCCCACAGTGAAGTTGGTTAGTTTGGGTTTTATTTACAGGGTTTTTTTTAAAGATACAATTTTAAAAATTGAGCTATTAGCTTTAGAGGTGGTGCAACAATTTGGTGTTGGGGAGGGAAATAGAGAGCTGCTTATAGTAATTATTCTAGTTTGGATGAGTTAGGAGGATCAAAAATTTATCCCCAAAGCAATGCAGTCAGTTTTCCTTGGTGGAACATGCACATTTAAGGAGAAAACCTTGAGAAAGGTGGTTCCTTTCAGATTTTTGAGATTGAAAAGAGATGAACTGACCCTGTCTATCTGTTAGGAAGGAAGAGCTCTGTGTCCAGTTTGGTTTTGTTGTGCCTACTTTAACAAAAGCAAGATGTGACATGCCCTAGTCCTAACTTTAGCCAGAAAGAGCAAATCCTGCTCCTGTGAAGTAAAGCCAGTGTAGATGTGCTGCTTCACAAGTGAAGAAAGTGGAGCCCTGCATGATTGCCCACCATCACCACCACCACTCTCCAGCACCGTTCCAAAAGCTCTGTTATAAACAGGCATTTTGGCAGAATTACTTGTGTTTTCCACACTCCAGTTCACAAAGATTGCTGGAAGAGGATTTTAGGAAGAGGAGTTTCTAGCAAAGCCACACTTCAGTGTCTCTGATGATCAGTTGGCTGTTAGATTTGCAAAAGGAGTTTGGTTTTTTTTGGCCTAAATTTCATTTATTTATCACAAGCTATTAATTTGTGCAACTGCAGAAATGCTTTTACTATTTTCTGATTGAGGCAGAGAAGAATTATAAGCTTTCTCTCAAAGCCAAGCTCTGTTTCCTCAGTTGTTTGAATATTTGTAGAAATGTAATTAAAATGAAGTCTGCAGGCCAGCTGAATGGTGGTCCTTAATTCACACTTCTGAAATACTAAGCACACATTGCATGAGGGAGAACAGAAACAAAAGTAATGGTAAAGTTTTGATGACTTCACTGTGAAATCTGATTTTTTCCAATAGAAATATTTTTTTTGTGCATTCAAAAGATTATTTTTCCCATTAGAAATTTTATGCATTAGCTTTAAAAAAAAAGTACATCTCTTAATATGCAGTTCAGATTCTGGTTGTTTTCCAAGTAAACCAGGTATTTAAAAAGCAAAAGAGAACAATGCTTATGGCAGCATTAGAGAACATTCAAAGATAAATCTTCATACACATTTTAGAACTATTTTCTTAACGAAGTTTATCTGCTGTAACTTTGGCCATCTGAACGTTAGTAAGAATGCTGCAGTGCTAGTGCCAGGGATCAAAGTAATAAATTCAGGTTAGATCCTTTCTTCTGTCTTAGGTCATACAGGTGCTATTGTGTACAGATGACACGTTTTCCTTGATCCTCTCTAGGGCAAGGGACAGCTGAGGTGATTCAAATAGCTTTAAAGCAGACATTTCATCATCTTCCAGAGTTTTGGGTTGTAATTTTTCCCAACTTCCAGTCTGGCCCAACATTTGCTTAATTTTAAGGGTAAAAACAGGGTCTTCTGTTAGCAGAAGTTTTTTCTTCTTGAAGTTTTCTTCATTCAAATACAGGTTAATCTTTTTTGGCCTGGGAAATTTCTGTCAGTTACGTGATTGTTAACTGGTAGTACCATTTTTTTCAGTTGATTTGCAAATAATACCTGTAGTCATAATCACTCATTGGTTAATGTAACCTACAGTGGGTTTTGATTCACCTTAGGACTGTTCTATAGTCTGTAATATATATATTTAAATTATACATTTTATATATATATATATGTTCTGTGGTCTATATTCTATATACTGTTCATTTGTTTTCTGCAGAATTGCTGAAGTTTATTCTGACTAATGGTTAGAGAAAGCTGTTTCTCTTTGCTTCAATACGTAGACCTCAGAATTCTTTCAAAACTTTGTTGTTGTTTTTTTTAATCTCCTACCTTGATGGGTACAACCCCTTATTGTCAGGTGCACCACAGATGCATCACAACCAGTGACTGTATAAAACCTAACAATGAAATGGAGCTGGAATGATATTCAGCAAGAACTTTATTACGTTCTTGCACGTTTTCATGTGTTGGACCTCAGGAGGTAATCCAGTGCTAGTGAGGCCTAGGGAAGTGCAGAAACAATGCTGGAGAGAAAATGTGTGTCCACCTGACTGCAAAAGGGTCTGTCCCCACCCACTCTGGCTGAGCATGGTTTTGCTATTGCCGTTACTAGGGCAAAACCAGGTGCCGAGTGCTCCATCATGTCAATTGGCGTGTGTGTGTGTATAGATATCTTTAAAAAGCAAATTAATATTTTTTTATTTAAGGGCTTTGGCAGTATTTGAGTAACCTAAGTCAGAAATAATACAGTAAAGCAGCACAGTTATCCACTCAGATGATTCAGTTACTCACAACCAGTCCCTGAGGTTTCTGTGATGAAAAGCTGGACATTTTTGGTCCTTGGTGCAAGCGAGGGCTGCAAAAGCTCCAGTGCTGTCCTCCTGCAAATCAAAGCTGGTCAAGGAGTGGAACGTGGTGGCTCTGCCAGCTCTCTTGGCTTTGGCTGTTGTCTTTGCACTGATGACTCATGAAACTTCTTCCATCCCTTAAAATCTTCCAGCCGTGGGTGGTAGCCAGCTTGTCTGTTGTCTCTTAGTGAGAGCCTTTCCATCAGCATTGATGCTGGTTCCCACCACGTAGGCCCTATTCCAGGATCTGTTTTCACTCTTTTCCCTTATCACACACATCCAGAGCATCTTACTGCGTTTTCCCTTTTAACACATCCGTGTCCCACAACATTCTGTAATCCCAAAGATCTCTCTCTTTTTGGCCTGAGTGATGATTAACCTGCTCTGTACCAGCATCAGCGTGTAAACGTCTGATGTCTGCTTTGAAGCAAGTCCTGTGTTTGGCCTTCCCTGGTTATGAGATGGCCTTCACTCAGTCTGCACAGGTAACGCTTCCACTGACGCTTTTATCGCTTGGCTTTCTCACCCATTTAGCTTCTCTTGGCACAACTAACAGCCCCTGCATTTCCCTATTCTCTGTTCTTCCCTGTAAAGCATTTACACACTCTCTATTTTCAAGTTACTCAGCAAGGCCTGCTTCTGAAATAGTCCAGCCAGCAAACTATGACGTGTGTTAACTTGAAAACAAGTTTAAAAATGTGTTTAAAAAGCACTTGATTTTCTAATAAAATGTTTACTGAAATAATTCAAACTACTCTTTGAGCAGCTATAGTCTTTATTGTCGTTGAGTCTTGTGTAACTTTGTTGTTGCAATTGTTTAGTTTTCTGCTGTGAAAAAGATACTTTACATGGATGGCACAAGATAGATACAACCTGTGGAGTGTGTGTGGGAGGGGTTGTTCTACAAAAAGCTTTGGTTTAGTTCAAAAAATGAAAGTTACTCAGAAAAATCTTTACAGGCCACTGCTATTTCTAGCAACCTTTTTCAGTTGAAATTAAAACCATTCAAAACACTGTTTCAGCATTCTTAAAGCGTATGTTTAAATTGTTTTATTTCCTTTAAACACTTTTGATTAGTAAAGCTGCGATTTTTAAAAGAATTACTGGATTTTTGTTCAAATGAGACAAATTAAATGTCTTGAATTTTCAAGGTATGTGAAAATACTCAGTTTCCATTTCTCTAAACTAAAACATGTTTCTGAAAATCTGAAATTGCTGCTGCACCAAAGAGCTGCTTTTTCCTTGACTTTGTTTTTTTTCTTATTGCCTTCATTCTGGGACCTGATTTCTCTCCTAGATTGTGAGGAACTTGTCTTTAGTATTTGGGAAACTCCTCCACACTTATGACACTCACGACAAGAATAACTTAGAATAATTTAAAAAAAACCCCCAAACAAACCCAACCCAAGTCTGTGAAATGCTTTGAATGTTTGCCTTTTAAAAGCTTTTTATTTCCACTATGTTCTTAACAAAACTCCTTCATTTGCTAGCATCAACGTACCCATGTCTGCATGTCTTCCTTTCTTTATGTTGTCATCAATGTCTTAGCACTGTGAATTAGTGGGATGTAGAGATGGTGCTGATTTTAGACAGTGGTTTAATAATTATTTTTTTTGGTACAGTAAAGCTTGTTCTGAATGTGGCTGGAAGAGCTACCTTACACCTATCCAGTGCCTAATTGTTATCTCAGAAAAATGAAAAATATCAACGCAAGAAAAGTAATACAATTTATTTTTAGGCCTGTTTCTTATTAGTCAGTGACAGTTTAGCAGTGGAGCCATCACATGTGCAGTTAAAGAGAAACATCTGCCTGTACCTGAGGCATCATTCGTCTGTGGAAAATGAGTCCCAGTGTGTCCTTATAAAATGAAACAAATTGCTTTTGAGGGGTTGTGGGTTGGTTGCTAATTTTAGTAAAATTAGCCCCAATAAAGTAATTGGAGAGAATAAACATACCAGTGTGAAGCAGCTGAGTGGCAGGTGACTTCTGTCCCACGCAGAACTCCTCTGAGCCCGCTGGTTCTCACTCTCCACAGACTGAAGGGAGAGAGCAGGCCAACGCGTTGCTCTTGCCTGCTGCGCCCCTGTAGCCAAGGTGTCGTAGAGGCAATTACCTGCAGGTAAAAAAAGGGGGTGCAAGGCATTGGATTGCAAGTTCCAAATGAAAATGGTAACGAGTATTGACCCAAAGAGAGGAAGTTGGGTATTTTCCCTTGGTGATTTTAGGATTCCACAATGCCCTCAAGGAAGTATAGTTAGAATCATAGAGTCATAGAAGATATTGGGTTGGAAGGGACCTTCTAAAGTCATCTAGGCCAACCCCCCTGCAGTGAGCAGGGACATCTTTACTCAAGCAGGTTGCTCAGAAGCCCCATCAAGCCTGACCTTGAATATCTCCAGGGATGGGGCCTCCACTACCTCTCTGGGCAGCCTGTTCTAATGATCTTCTACCCTCATATTGAAGAACTTCGTGATGGAGAGTTTTGCTCTTTGCAGGTAGTAGGACCTGGAGGCATAGTGATGAAAAATAGATGGTGACTGCAAAGATGTTGTGAAGGGAGTTAAACACCTCTGAGGATTTCCAGAGAGCACCCAAACAGAAATGTCAGGAGACTGTACTGCGGTTTGTGTTTTGTTTTCCTTAACTACTGATGTTCAGATATTGATCAGTGGAATAAAGTTATTGAGCAGCTGGGAACACCCTGTCCAGAATTCATGAAGAAGCTGCAGCCGACGGTACGGAACTACGTTGAGAACAGACCCAAGTACGCTGGCCTCACTTTCCCCAAACTTTTTCCAGACTCTCTCTTCCCAGCTGACTCGGAACACAACAAACTCAAAGGTATGTCTGACAAAGGGACGTGGTTCCTATCTCAATAGCTACAATGCTATGAAGGGCTCTTTCAAATTTCCTTCTCTCTAGTTGCTCTCCCCTTTAATGCAGCTGGCTGCAGAGATGAATGACTGCGTGGGGTTTGTTCAGCTGAGGGACAGCCTTTGGAAATTATTTTTGCAGACCCCGGTGCCTGGGCAGCCAAGGGAACAGGCATTATCACCCATGTGTTGAGCATATCCCCACGCTTTTCTGTGTGATGTTTCTGTCCTGTGAGGATCTGAGGTGTTCCTTTACTCTCATTCTTCAAGTTGTGAACTTCCACCAGAAGATCTCGGCGCTTGCACTGTTTTGTTTTAGGTGAAGAATAGCAGTTCAGCCAGCTGCCTGCCTCAGAGCTCTGCCTTTACTAGACAACAGAAAGATATTAGCAAGGTCAGCCAAAATGCTCTTGATATAGCTGAGGTTTAATATCTGTTTTTCTTTTGAAAAATGCTGTGAGTCAGTTTGGATATGTAAAGTAGAGCACTAACTTAATTACAGTGTGGCTAGATAGAGCCCTGTAAAAGAGAAGTTGCAGTGATTTTAATGATATATTGAAGTCTCGTTTTA